AATGAGCATTTTGCACACTGCTACTGAACATATAAGTAATTTTTTCTGGAAAGCAACTTGGCAGTACATATCAAAAACAACCCTGAGCAACAAATATGTCAATCCCCTTTCTGCTTCTTTAGGGCCTTAGAAAATGCTGCTCTGTCTGCCTGTGACACTCTTCCCTATCCCTTCCTTGATCATGCCTCCTCACCTCTCAGGCTCTCAGCTCACCTCCTCCAGGCAGGCTCCCAGGACCTCCTGGCTATATCAATTCCTGTTTTTTTTAGCCTGTCAGCTGGTGTTCTGGGAGCCAACTGGGGGGAGAAGAGAGCAGGCCCCACCATTCAGTCTTTAAACTTCCACTTAACTCCCCTGTTTTATTTATGTTGCTCTTACCCTCAACTGTGCAGGGTGTTTCTCTGCTTCATCCTCTCCAGAGAATGAACTTGCTGCCTCCCACAGGGTGGGGAGGGGTGAGCCCCTAGATGACTGCCTTCAATTGGCCCTCCTGCTTTAGCGCCACCTCCACTCCTAACGCAGGTGGTCGGTGCCTTCGCTTCTTGTAATTTGCTCGTGCTTTTCTGTGTTTCTGAATCATCTACAGTGAATTACTTTCACAATCAGAAAAAAGCCCCTAAATTTTCTTTATTTAAAATTTTCTTCCTTTTGACCCAGTACATTCACTTCTTGGAATATCTTTCTTTTAGGGAAATGAAAATTTAGAAAACATTTATGTACGGGTATCTACATCACAGTGCAATTTATAGTAGAGGATAATTTGTTACAAACATCCTAAAAATTCAATATCAGGATCATGGTTAAATAGCTAATGACAAAGCCATTAAGTGATGTTTTCAAAGATACTTAATTACATGGGAAAAGGCTTATGATTTAATATGAAATGCAAAAGGCATAATATAAAGTTATAGGTCTACCTTTACTCAGATTTTATTTAAAAATATGTCTGGAAGGGCCGGGTGTGGTGGCTCACACCTGTAATCCTAGCACTCTGGGAGGCTGAGGCGGGAGGATTGCTTGAGGTCAGGAGTTCGAGACCAGCCTGAGCAAGAGTGAGACCCTATCTCTACTAAAAATAGAAAGAAATTAGCTGGACAACTAAAAATATATAGAAAAAATTAGCTGGGTGTGGTGGCGCATGCCTGTAGTCCCAGCTACTCGGGAGGCTGAGGCAGAAGGATTGCTTGAGCCCAGGAGTTTGAGGTTGCTCTGAGCTAGGCTGATGCCATGGCACTCGAGCATGGACAACAGAGCGAGACTCTGTCTCAAAAAAAAAAAAAAAAATTCATGGAAGAAGGCTGGAAGGAATTACTTCTGAATGTTAACAGTTATTACCTCTGAATGGTAGGATCTCATTGTCTACAATGATCATGTATTATCTTTCTAATTTAAAAAAAATTCTGTATATGAAAAAGAGAAGAAAATAGAAAAGTTAATGTAATTATAGGTTGCATTAATACAGGTAGAAATTTTGGGGCAAGAGAGGTGATAAACTGGATTCTGATCACCTGGGGTGTCAGGTCCAGCACACATGGGAGAGTGGCACGTGTTAAGAGGAAAATAAACAAACTGCAGGTTGGCCAGAGACTTCTAGAAATTAAGGTCAGCTGGAGGAATGGGAGGAGAGCAGGCTCAGGACGGGCCTGGTGGCAATCTGCACGTGGCTGTAGTGCCGTATAGGAAGGACAGAACAGCTCACCGAGCGTCTTGTGGCTCTTGGGAGCAGAGCCAAGGCTGGCGGGAGCAGCTTAAAGGTGGAAAAAGAGGTTCCGATAATCCTGTGGTGGAGACCTCTTCCTGCAGACGTCAGTGGTCACGCTGAGGTTAGTGTGAGAAGGAAATGAGGGACACCCCCGGTCAAGGCACTGGAGGTCGGTGGTAGAACCGTGAGGTCAGCCACCCAGAGGCCAGTGAGCCAGCACGTTAGGTCGGGAAGCGGTGCTGACGTTACCCAGCCCCACAGTTCTCTGCCTTGTTTATGTGCGGCCCGAGATGTTCACATGCTCCCACGGGTCACGGATAAGATGACCCGGGTTACGTAAAATTCCCAGTGCACTCCACGTAACCCCATCCCTTTCTTTCCTACTCAAGAAGGCAATGTGCATTCCAGGGAGTGGAATTGGTCTTATTATAGAAATAACCTTGAATCTGTTCTGATTCGTGAAAAATAGCACATCACTCATAGTCTTTAGATCAATGATTAGTGACAAGTTACCCCACGCAACGCTCTTCACACCTAATTGTCGCATACCTGCTTCTCATCCAGACCTTTCATTTCACAGTGGGGAAACTGAGGCCTGAGGCTTAAAGAAGGAAAAGAACCGCAGTCAAGCAAGTATGAGAGGTGGGAGGCGGGAGCCAAGTCTCCAAACTCCAGACTATGGCTCTTTCTGTGTCTGAGAGCCGCTGGCTGTCAACCTTAGAGTTTGGTGGCAGTGAGGGGTAGGCTGGTGGGGGGAGAAGGAAGCAGAGGGGGAAGTAAGATGTGAACCTGCCCAGTTCCGTCCCAGCCACATCGTCCAACGTGTACTTAACATTCTCCTCGGCCTCCCGGCCAGCGCTTGGAGGTGAGCTGGGGCCAGCAGGGTGGTGATGCGGGTTGAATTGTGCCCCTCCCTCGAGACATATTGAAGTCATAACCCCCAGTACCTTAGAATATGACCCTATTTAGAAATAGGGATTTTCCAGAGGTTAAATTCCAAGTTAATTTGAGGTCATTAGGGTGAGTCCTAATCCACTAGGACTGGTGTCCTTACACAAAGGGGAGATTTGGACGCAGGCATGCACACAGGGAGAATGCCACGTGAAGAGGAGGGCAGAGGTGGGGGCGATGTGGCTAAAAGCCAAGGAGTGCGAAGCATTGCCAGCACCGGCAGCGAGGAGAGAGAACGGAACAGATTCTCCCTCACAGCTCTCAGAAGGAACCAACTCGTCAGGCATCTTGATCGCAGACTTCTGGCCTCCAGAACTGTAAGGATAAATTTGGTTGTATAAGTCACCCAGTTGGTAGCACTTTGTTACCCAGCCCTAGCAAATAGTACAGGCGGGATGGAGTTGCAGTAAGTCCTCACCACACCCCCAGCCCAAACTGTGTGGTCCTGTCCCACTCCACTGTCCTCACTCCTAACCCCCAGCCTGTTTGCCCTTGTGTTTGTGTGGCCACCAGCCTAGGACCGAATCCCACTTTTGCCAAAGGTCCAAGCCCCTGAGCCCCGGCCTGACCTCAGCCCCGACACCAAGCTCAGAGCAGGTGAGCTTTGAGGAAGAGGAAAGATGCCCTCTCCACTCACCTAAACTTTCCTTCTTTCTACCTTTCCAAGCTAGGACTGTAGGGAAAACCAGAAACTCAGGCTCCCAGAGCCCTCAGGTAGGGCTGGCTCTGAGACCAACCTCTAACCCACAGCCTCTGGCCTCTCACCCTGGGTAGGAGGAATCCCTCAGAAGAGGACCTCAACTTCCTGGGGTCATGCCTGTCCCACGTGTGGATGCATTCCTTTCTGCCCAGTCTAACTCAATCCCTCATTTCACAGCCAAAGTGAATACTGGGCTAGGCCCGTGGGGAATGAAAATGTCTCCTTGGCGACGCTTAGAGACTTGCTGAGATAGACACCTACTAAGCAGGGGTCCAGATCCCTGAGAGATAGAAGTCATCACTGGAGACTAGCTGGAGAAGTCAGGGAGGGCTTCCTGGAGGAGGAAGGATGTATGTTAGCCTTGCTGGAAAGGGTGAGTTGAATTTTACTGCGTGACTACGTTGAGTCAGGCACAGTCATACACTTTCTCTTATTTTATTTCTTCTTGTGTGTGAGGCAGGCAGCATTATCTGCATTTTAGAGATGAGAAAACTGAGACTCGGGGGAGTGAAATGATTGACTCCAGACCACAAGGCTTGTACATATTGGAGGAAGCGTTTAACACATTGGCTGGCACACTAGAATTTTTTTTTTTCCTTGGGGCCATGGTGTTTTATTATGAAAATAGAACAAAAATTTTGGAAACAAAATGATCCTTTCTAATTTAATGAAAAATTAAATTAGCCCCTCATAAAGGCATTGTGGCTCTCAAGGTAAAACATGTGGCCACATGAGGTGGACTCATTCCTTCCTCCAGTCCCAGCCATCCCTGGGTAGAGAGGATGACCAGCTTGCTCACGAGGGTCACTACCTGAGGGCTCTCCCCTACTTGGGTCACCTTCCACATGGAAAGTCAGTCTGGCCAACAGTGGGCCCGTCCTCAGCCGTGCCTCCTGCAATCCAGATGGCTCATCAGACCACAGGAACCCCCTCCACCCCCTGGCCATTCCCCTCCTCTGGGCCTTTGCACAAGCAGACTCCTCTGCTTGAATCTCGGTGTTCTTTCCCTGCCCAGTGAATTCCCGTTCAGTTGCTCATTTTTTCCCTGCAGCCTTTGTGACTCATTGGCAAGGTTCAGTCCCTTCCACTTCTGTATACTGCCATTGTCTGTTCTGAGTTTTGGGTGCATGGAGAGGAGATGATGTAGATCCTTAAGTTGCTCCTTCTGGTGGGCAGCCTGGAAAGGGCCAAGGTGGGAAGGACAAGTGACTGAAACCTCCCTTCCCAAATCCCAAGGGGTCCAGGATGAGGTGGGAATGCAGGGCCCGTATGAATTGGACTGTGAGGGGCTTGGCTGGCAGGCTCGCTTGGGGAGCAAACTGTCCAGTTAGGAAGCACATTGTCGGGGGTGGTGTGGCCGGGGCACCGGATGGGCATGGGGCAGGCAGGGCAAGGACGCTGCTTTGGCCACCGATTAGTGGGCTGGGGCAGTGGGGATGAAAAGAGGCATTTCAAAAGCAGAACGCTTAGGGCTGTTGAAGGCAGAAGGTATGAGTCAGAGGGTTTAAGGTGCTGGCTGGAGCTGGGGTTGCAGAGACCAAAGACAGATGATACAGGACCCAAAAGAAAAGCAAGTCCGGTCAAAATAACTCTCCGTCCCCGCCCCGCCCTGAAGCACACCATGACAGCATCAATACACACCTAGCTTGCGATCAGTCCTGTTTATTTTAGAAGCATAAACTGTGGAACTAGGAAGGAGTGATGAAAACAAGGCAGCAGTCCTCCTGACAGGCGAGATCCAACACAGGCTCTGTCTGTGTGACCAAGGCCGACCCAGCAGCCTCGATCAGCCTTTTCCTGTGAGGACAACCTGGGCAGGGGTGAATCTTCCATAAGGGTGGGGTTGGGTGAGTTGCCTCTGGGTCCCTCTGGAGCAGGTGAAAAAGGCTAGAGGGCTCACAACACCCTTGGCCAAGAGCACCCCATGTGGGCTCTGTGCCTGGGGCTAACCCACCTTCTGGACAGAACCATAGTGCCCTCTGGTCACCAGGAAGGCCCCGGGTGTTCTAGAACAACCTGTAGTGAGGCCCCCTGGCCAGCAAGCACCTGCTTCCCCAGTCTAGTCACCTCTGCAGAGCCTTCAAGGAAGGGGCACCCCAGGCAGCCGACTTCCGGGGACCCCTCGTTTGGGTGACATAAGCCCCAGGCCCCTACACATACTGCTTCTTGGAAGCAGAACTGCTGGGGCGACTGGGGGATTTCCGGCCACCCTGCGGGGGTGGGTCCAGGAAGAGGGGGGGCCTGGAAGAAGCCAGCCTCTCCTCTGTGGTCAGGTTGGCCCAGTTCTGCTCACTGGATGAGAGCCCATTATAGGTGGGGCATGGCGGGGACGAGGGCCCCTGGCCCATGGGGAGGTAGAAGAAGACCTGGTCCGTGTAAGGGTCCGAGGAGGTTCTGTGAGCTGGAGGGGTGTCCTGGCCCTGCCGGGCCCTCACGCCCTGGCTGAGGCAGCGGCACAGCAGGTACATCAGCTCCAGCAGGTTGAGCACCAAGGAGATGAGTCCCACCACCAGCATAAAGATGATGAAGATGGTCTTCTCCGTGGGGCGAGAGACAAAGCAGTCCACGAGATAGGGGCAGGGTGCTCGCTGGCACACAAACACAGGCTCCATGGTCCAGCCATAGAGGCGCCACTGGCCATAGAGGAAGCCTGCCTCTAGCACACTCTTGCAGAGCACACTGGCCACGTAAGTGCCCATCAGCGCTCCACGGATCCGCAGGTGACCATCCTCTGCCACCGAGATCTTGGCCATCTGGCGCTCTATGGCCACCAGCGCCCGCTCCACCTGTGGATCCTTGGCTGGCAGTGCCCGCAGCTCCCCCTCCTTCTGCCGCAGCCGCTCCTCTCGCCGAGACAGGTAAATGACGTGGCCCAGGTAGACCAGGGTGGGTGTGCTGACGAAGAGGAACTGCAGCACCCAGTAGCGGATGTGGGAGATGGGGAAGGCCTGGTCGTAGCAGACGTTGGTGCAGCCTGGCTGGAGCGTGTTACACTCGAAATCCGACTGCTCGTCACCCCACACCGACTCGCCGGCCAGCCCCAGGATGAGGATGCGGAAGACGAACAGCACCGTCAGCCAGATCTTGCCCACCACAGTCGAGTGCTCCTGGACCTGGTCGAGCAGCTTCTCGAGGAAGCCCCAGTCACCCATGGCTCCCGGGCCTATGTCTGCAGGGAGACAGAGCATCAGCGCGTCAGCACGGCATCCTTCTCTCTCGCCCTAGCAACGCCCTGCAGGGAAACCCCATTGCACTGGCCCAGGTGCTCACGCTCAGCCGGGCTGGCAGGACCCAAAGCAGATCTTTGGATGGCTGTTAAGGTCTTTCATACCCAGGCCTCCTTCTGCTTCACTGAATGGCCCTGGGTATGGCGAGGGTCCCTGCCTAATCACACATCTGCATCCCTCTTGTCCCCAGCCAGAGCCCCAGGATGGCCACAGGCCAAGAAGATGTGGATCAAGTTGAGGTTCCTTTGCCTATGGGAACAGAGACTTTGAGGAACTTATCCCAGGCAGCACAGCCGGGCATGCCCTTCGCCCCTTTTGCCCAAGGCTGGTCGCCCCAGACTGTGGGGGATGGTGGGGGTAGAGGTACTATCAGCAGCTTTTTAGGCACTCAAAGCCTCAGGTCCCTGCCAACCTCCAATCTCTCCCCTCCTATCTTCCCCAGCTGGCCTCACCGTAATCTTTGAGCTTGAAGTGGGGACGGTTTAGAAGCTGAAGGCAGCATCTCCCATTAGCTCTACCTGTCAGTTACAATGAGCACCTGAAACTTAAGGAGGGACACTTGGTCCTGTCCCCTGCCTCCATCCCCACTCCTCCCCTCCAAAGCTGTTGCTGCCAAATTCTAGGCTCTTGAAAGGAATTGTCATTGCAGGGTGGAGGCACAGGCCACATGGTTCCCAAAACATTTGGGGGGAAGGACGGTAGGGGCAGGCGAGGGAGGAGTGCCCTTTCCCAGGCAGGAGGCTGTCTAGAGCCAGGCTCTGGAGCTAGGCCTGGGTTCAAATCTTGGCTCTTCCTTACTAACTGGAGCCTGTAGCAACCTCTGAGCGCCCCAGCCTCCTCTCTGGTAAAGTGCAAACAGTAATATTCCTGCCTCCCGTGGCTGCTGTAAGGATTCAGTGAGAAAACAGCAGGAACCGCGCTTAGCACGGAGCTGGCCGAGGGCAGGCTGGGAGAGCCGCAGGCGTCCCGTCCCGCGGCCACCCTCAGTCCCAGGCTGTGGCGGGACCCCTGTCCCCCGCCGGACCTCCCGCTAGCAGGTGGCGCCCCCTCCCCCAACTCACCGCCTGCCTGCCGGGCAGCCCAGGTGGCGGCGGGACGACGCGGGAGTGGCGCCCGGGGGAGCGGTGCTGGACCTGCCGGCGGCGCGGGCGGCGGGCGGGGGCGCCTTAAATAGCGCCGGGGGGCGGGGTGGGGGCAGGAAACGCGACGGGGAGGGCGGCGAGGCCTTGAGAGGAACGGGGGCGGGGACTGGGAGGTGCAGACGCCCCGAGCCCACTCACGGGAGGTGGCGCTGTGCGTTTGGGGGGCGCCAAGAGGGGCTGAGAAGCCCCCTACCCTCGCTCTTCCCCGCTCTCTGTCCACCAGGTGTTCCAGGCTAGCTAAACCCTCCTCCCCTGCGGATCTTTGGCCATGGAATGGGCTTTTCCCAGGCCAGGGTCCTTCAGGGTGGCTGGATTTGAAAGGCGGCAGTAGGAGCGGTGGATCCCAGCAACTGGCCTGCGCGGCTGTGAGGGGTGGACGATGGGGATGAGAGGGTGGGGGCCGCTCATTTGTCAGGTGGCCCTAGTATGCCAGGACTTGGCCATCAAAGCTAATTATGGCGTGGGGAACCACGGTGGCAGACGGGGCAGTAATCCACATGTCCTCGAGGCTGTGGGAGCTGGGGTCTTACAGAATTCTCAGCCATCCCCATGCCTGGGCAGGCTCAGAGGTCACTAAGCAGCTCCGATGGGCCCCTTGAGACTCAGGGTGGGGGGAACCTCCTGACCTTTAGCTTGTATTCCATTTTCATGCCTCTAGATGGTGTGTGGGCCATCCAGAGGGAATAAAGGGATGGCAGGCCCTGCCGTCACCCACGGTGAACGTTAAGCAGGGGAGCTGGGGATACCGCACTACACCAGCCAGCCTGGTCTCTGGCCTCCAGCTCTCACTGGTGGATGCAGGGATTGAGCATCTCAACCCTTGGATAATGGTAAAATTATAGATGTGGGAAGTTGTGCTGAGAAGTACTGGGTGACTCACAGGGAACTTGGTTAGGAACATGTCCTGGAGAAGGCTGCATCAGCCAGAGGAAGGGGAAAGAATATTCTAGGCAGAGGAACAGCATGAGCAAGGGCTCAAATGCCTGGAGCTGTGAGGTCTGGAGATGGTGACCACTGCCCCCAGAGTGCTGAGACTTTGTTGGTAGCAGAACCCAGAAGTTGAGACTTTGCTAATGACGCCTGCATCCTTAAGCAAGTTGCTTAAAACCCTGTGCGAGAACTGAGAATTCACTGCAGAATGATAGTAAAAGTACCTATTTTGTGAGGTTGATGGGAGATCCAATCAAAACACAGAGAGCAATATTGGTACATAAAATTCTCAACGGGGTGGTAGCTAAAAATATTGTGACAAAACATTTGTAACAAAAAGGATCTGTGTGTTGGTCTTGGAGCAGAAGAGGCTGGGGGCTCAGGGCAGAGTGGTGGTAGGGGCTGGGGTGGCTGAGGACAGGGAAGGTGGCAGGTGAGTGCCTGGGGCTAGTGGCAGAAGGGTCCCTGTTTCTCCACCAGGGGATCCAGTCCTTGGAATCCCAGGGCCCCAGGGCCTGGTCCTTGAGGGTTCTGTCTTCAACCCAGGCAGGACATCTGGGGGAGCAAGTGGGAGCCCTCAGACCTCAGGACTTCAGGGATGGCCGCCCCTAGGGGGTTGTGCGGAGCAGTTTCCCCTCCAGGCCTCTCCCTCAGGGCCAGGCTGAGCTGGGCCTCCTGGATATCCAAAGCTGACAACTGCCCCACTTAGTTCTGACCCTTGAGGGCATGAGAACAGAGGTCCCTGGAGGCTGGTTCTCACCACGCCCCACGGCAGCCTCTGCTCCCTCCCAAGTTCCTCTCCTGGGGCTGGGCCCAGCTCTCCCAAAGCCTTTCTGATGCGAACTCCTTGGAAGGAGGGAGGAGGGTGGAGGGCTGGGGGTGACATCAGAGCTGCCCTCAACCTGCTCTGGCCCCTTCCTCAGGGGCTCTGGAGGTCAGGGTTTGAATAACCTGGCCCCTTCCCCAGATCAAGAAGCAGCTGGGATCAGCCAAGCCAGTAGTCCCCACAACCTGGCCATTCCGTCTGGGAAACATCCCTGGAACCCCGCATTTACCCCCATTCCCATTGCTCTGACCCTGTTCGGGCTGCCACCAGCTCAGTGGCCTCCCAACTGGTCTCCAGGCCTCTAGCCCCACCCCTCCAACCCAGCCTTCACCCTTCCCTAGAAACCTGACCGCGACATTGCCCTACTCAAAACCTGTCTGTGGCTCCCCATTGCTTTCTGGAAGGGGGGGGCGTGAGCTGTCCAGCCTCCAGGCCGTGGCCACTTCTCCATCCTCAGCCCTCTCGCCCTTTTACTCTGTGGCCCGGGCCTGTCTAACTGCCTGTGGCTCTCTGTGTGCTCTTGCCTTTGTCCCTGCTGTCTCCTCTGTGTAGAGCAGCCTCATATGCTGAACCCTGGGAATCTTTCAGGACTTTTGTCAGATGTCACCTTCTCCCAGAAGTCCCCTTGCTGGCCTCCGCTGGGTTAGGTGTAGCTTTGTGCTCTCAGCAGCTCAGGTACTGCCCAGGGATGCATTGATTTTTTGTTGTTGTTTATTTATTTGTGTATATATATTTCCAGGAACATTATGTTGAGAGTGTTTTCTTATTTTTAATTGTGGTTAAAAAACCCACGTACCGTAAAATTTACCACCTTAACCATTTTAAGTGTACGGTTCAGTAGTGTCGAGTGTATTCACAGTGTTGTGCAACAGATCTCCAGAACATTTTCATCTTGCAAAACTGAAGCTCTGTACCCATAAAACAACCCCCACTAACCCCTGGGTGCAGTATTTACCTGTCTTCACTCCCCTCCCCCATCAGACTGTGAGTCCCTTGAGGGCAGGCAGCTGGGTCTTGTTTATCCCCCACCACCTCGCAGGGCACCAGGCCAGTCTATGAATTTATTAATTCAACAGAGAATTACTGAGCACCTCCTGGGGGCTGTGACACTATCCTGGACACTGGAGATCAACCAGGAAACAACAAAAAATCCCTGGCCTCAGAAATTTTGCATTCCAGCTGAGGGAAGACGCACAATAAAATATAGGACATGTTAGATGTTGATAATGCTATGGGGAAAATAGAGTAGGGAGGGTTGAGAGTGCAAGGGGTGACAAGTTTCAATTTCAAATAGAAGAGAAAGGAAATCCTTGCTGAGCCGCTGAGCACTGAGCTGTGATTCCAGTCCTGAAGGAAGGGAGGGAGCCCCGTGGCTGTTTAGGGGGCAGATCGTTCCAGGCAGAGGGACCCAGCATGCAAAGGCCCTGTGACAGGAGTGTGCCTGGTGTTTCCTGCTTGAGGAACAGCCAGGAGGTCAGTGTGGCTGGAGTGGGTGAGCATGGTGGAGAGATGAGTTTAGAAAGGAACAGGCGAGGTGTGGGGTGGGGAAGATCTTTTGCGCCCTCTAAGGCCTGTGTAAGATGCCTTTGGAGGTTTTGGGCAGAGGAGTGACATGGCCTGATTTGGATTTTGACAGGATTCCCTGGCTGCCGTGCTGGGGACAGACTATGAGGGTGGGTGGCAGACTCGGACATCCCCTTCAATGTAGGACTCGTGTGGAGCCTGGTGAGGTGATAGCCTCCACCTGGGAACACTTCCAGGTGCGCTGCTGCTGTCCAGGTGGAACAAGCTCTTCTCGGGGTGGCCCCAGGCAATGGCTGGGCCAACGGTGGTCAGCGAGGGCCCTCTTCCTGGTTTCTGCATGGCCGTCTTCTGCTTGTGTTCGCAAATGGAGAGAGAAAGATCATCTTTCTCCTGTCTCTTCTTATAAGGTCACTGATCTCATTCAGGAGGGCTCCACCCTCATGACCTAATCCCCTCCTGAAGGCCCCACCTCCTAATACCGTCACATTGAGGGGTAGCATTTCAACATACAAATTTTGGGGGGACATAAACATTCAGGCCTCATGGGGGCTTGGACCAGGGTGAATGAATACAAAATAATCTCCTGTTTACCTTGGGCTGCCGGGTGGCTGTGACTTTATGCCGTAGATATGGACTTGGAGACTATAAGAAATCTCAATCTATCACACGCATGATCTAAGGAAGCTTGCAGTGCAGCCTTATGCGATGGGGACAGAGGAGGTCAAAGGTCCCTGAGAAGGCCAAAGGGATGTGAGGGCCACCTTGTGGTGACAGTGGTGTGCCCTGGGGACTCAGTGGTGAACAGTAGCATGATACATACTGAATGAGATCAGTGAGCTACACGGCTCAGAACAGCTCTAGCCCAAAGGCGGGATGTGCAGGGCAGGGCTGGAATGTCACCTCCTCCATGGCCCTGGCCCACAGCCTGGAGAAACGGGCCCAGGACTGGGAGTTCAGTCCATGGTGAGCATTCAGTCTCTGCTGGGGTAGCCAGTGATGTTCTCTGGTTGTTCTGACCTCCAAGCCACCCTTGACCAGGCAGTCAAAACCACCCAGGAAGACGCTGGAATGTAGGTGGAGATTACCCCTCCCTGAGACCTTTGTAACTCTCCAGGCCCAGCTGAGGCTGACCTTTGTTGCATCAGGCAAAGGCTTTCCTAAGTATGGTTGTACCCTGTCCCGGTACTGACTGAATACAATAGCACTGTGCTAATGTTTTACCTATAGGGTCTCTTTTATCGCTACAACAACATGCAAGTAGGAACTGTCCCGGGTGCTGTGCTGAATATATTCCTTTGCCCTCAAATACACTCTCCACCCTGCTCCACCCTGCTCTGTGCCCCAGGAGGCCAACTTGCCCTCTGACTTGTGGTTGGGCTTGGGCAATGGGAGCTGCTGGCAGGTGAGCAGGAGATGGGAGAGTGAGGTTGGGAGGCTTATTTCGATGCTGTGGATGGGTGCATTCCACAGCTGCTGTCCACTGTTATCCTGGTACTAGCTACAAGGTACTGCAGCATCCCTTGTGGGTTTCCTCAATCATGCCCATGCCTTTGAAAGTCTAGGAGACTGTCTTTAAAGTTACTTGGGTTGAATGTTCCTTCCCTCTGTTTTCTGCTGGGCCCTGATTGATACATTCCCATTGTATTGATGACAAGACTGAGGCTCTGAAAGCCTGCCCAAGGTGCAGTGTGGTGAAGCTGTGCTCATGAAGTGGTCAAACTCCGATTTGGTCATGGGTGTGGGGAACAGTGGCAGCCCAGCCCTCGGCCCTTTAAACTTGGCTGGCTTACCCACCCCCTTCCTGGCCACTCGGGAGGGCAAAGATGGACCCCGGCCTGTTCTGTCTACACGACGTCTCTCCTTGCTTGCTTTGGCTCTTGCTTCCCGGCCATGGCTTTGCTGGTCACTAAACGTTCCTATGGGTTAGTGTAGCCTTACACCCCCTTTTGCTTCCCATTCTGGTCTGGGCTTGGTGATGGTGTCCTCTCCTACATTTCAGGTCATGACACAGGTGTGAGCCACCCCGGGATTGATTAGCACAGGGCTGCGTCTGCGTCTCTGTCTCCCCCAGACTCTTAGCTCTCTGGGCTCAGGTCCTACTTCTCTGTGCAGTCCCAGTACCCTGCCAGGGGCCTGGCGTGGAGAAAGTGCTCACGGAAAATGGAGTGAGCCGAGGGAAATGCGGGCTGAGGCTGGGACTGCACGCCTTAGAGCCGGTTCCATGGCCCATTGAGAGTGCAAATAGTGAGTGAGTGTATGAATAACAGGGATTGTGTGTACACAGGGTGGAGATGAGGGTTGTGGTGGCAGTGACTGGGTGACGAAGGAGGAGGGAGTGTGGCTGTCTGTAATGAGAGTGACAGTGATTGTGTGTCTACTGGGTCAGAGGCCAATCATGAAGGCCGAGAGTCTGTTGTAGAGGGAGCACAGCACCCTCTTGTGGCCATGACTGGAATCCCAACATACACATGTGGAGGGTCGTCCCAGCCCCACCTCTAGCCACCCCCAGTCCCGCCTGTCAACTCCAGCCCCCCGCCTAGCTTCCAGCCACAGCCACAGCCCCCACGCTAGTTTCTCCCCCAGCCTTGGCGCTCTTTCCCTTTCTGAGGGCTACGCTCCCTGCCCCTCGGAGTCCTGTTGAGTGGGAGCGTGGAAGAACGGAGGACAGAGCCAGCCTGTATAAAACACGGCCTTTACTGATTTCAAGGAAACCACCTTGGGATGTTCCTGTCAGGCGGCTGCGGGCAGGGAGATGGAGCAGGGTTTGGGGGAGGAGGGCTCCACTGAGGAAAGTGGTGACACGAGGACCCCTGGGTGTCTCCGGCACCTTCCCAAGCTCACTCTCCAGCTGCCAGACCTCCAGCTGCTGGGAGAAGACCTCTCCACCTTGGGAATCTGGGTGGTTCCTCCCAGGGGAGGGAAGAGTCTTTTTGGTCCCGTGTCCAGCCCAGGACAAACATCTCTCTTTGTGTGGCCTCCAGGCCTCTGTGCCTGCTGCTGTCTCTGCTTGGGAGCTCTTCTCACCTCTCTTGCACGTTATTTCCTCAGGGAAGCCCGATCACCTCCTCCTGGATTAGCCTGAAGCCCTGCTGTGAGCGCCCTAAGCGTCCCCTTGCATGGCATGCATATAGTCTGTCTCCTCCGAGGGCTGGCGCTGGGCCTGTGGGATACCTATTCCCAGGTGGACAGCCCAGTGGCCAGCATCAAAAAGTATCTGCCGAAGCGGAAATCGGATGGCTTAGTGAATTCAAAGTGGGGTACCCAGCCCCCAAGGGACCCTCCACCCTGCAGCACCTCCCTGCCTGTCCCGCTGGCAGCCCCAGTGTCACCCCCAGCCCCAGGGTCAGGTGGGGGTCAGCTTGGGTGCTGAAGTCTGCAGCTTGTCATCACCTGGGTCCAGACCCAGCTCCCCAGCCTCAACCAGCTTGTGGTGGCAGCGGCAGGTGGAGGCCCGGCTTTTGGAGAGTGAGGGGCTGTGGCTCCCTCGGGGCCTGTCCTTGTTCAGGCATCGCAGGGCCCTGTGGAAGATGAGGTAGCAGATCTCGCAGATGGTGAGCACGATGCAGACAGCTGAGGCGCCCACCATGAAGTAGGTGAAGACCTTCTTCTCGGTGGGCCGGGCAATGTAGCAGTCCACGATGTTGGGGCAGGGTGCCACGTTGGCACACTGCACCAGGCGTGGCATGCTGAAGCCATACCAGAGAGTGTGCAGCACGTAGAGGAAGAGGAGCTCGATGATGAGCTTGAAGATGAGGCTGAACAGGTAGGTCCACCACAGGCCACCGTGCTTCTTGCCTGCATTGTCATAGAGCTTGGTGCACTGGTCACCGTGCTTCAGGCGGTGCCGCCGCTCCCGATCCTCGCGGTAGGCCACGTGCAGGATGACCAGCAGCGAGGGGCAGGTGACAAAGATGAGCTGCAGGGCCCAGAGGCGGATGTTGGAGATGGGGAAGAACTCGTCGTAGCAGACGTTGGTGCAGCCGGGCTGCCTGGTGTTGCAGTCGAAGTCCTTCTGCTCGTCCCCCCACACGCGCTCTGCGGCCACCACGTACACCAGCACCCGGAAGACGAACACCACTGACAGCCAGATGCGCCCGAACGCCGTGGAGTACTTGTTCACGCCGCTCAGCAGGGCCTGGAACATCTTCCAGTCCATGGCGCCTGCTGGGGGCTCTGGGGGCCGTGCCCACCTGGGGAAAAGGAGGAAGAACCTTGATATTAATGAATAGGTGACCATACTGAGCATCAGTACCAGGCGCTATTCTGAGCTCTGACTTGTTCAGTGATCACAACAACCCTAGCAGGTGGTGACTACTATTCTTCCCAAGCTGCAGATGGGAAACTGAGGCACACCAAGGTTAAGTAACCTGCTCCAAGTCACAGAGCTGGTGTGCCGAAGGAAGGCGATGTGCATTTGCTGATGATAACAGTTACATTTACTGTGCCTGACTATGAGCCAGGCTTGAAGCTAGACACTTCAGGGGCAGGATCTCATTTAATCCTTTCGAACAACCCCTTGAGGTGGATATGACTATGCTCCCCATTTACAGATGAAGAAACTCATAATCAAATGATTGCAAAGCACATAGTACACAGTAAGTGCTCGATTAATGCTGGCTACTCATTGCTGTGAAGTATAGAGAGCTCAAGTCACTCACTTAGAAGAGGTGGCTTCAAGGCTGGGCTGTGGGTGCCAGGGCCTGTGCCTTCCACCACCTGCTCTCCCTTCCCTGCTGGATGCCCTCCCCAGACCAGATGCTGGGAACTGTCACCTTGCGGCTGTCACTCTCCTGTGAAGCTGGGGTGATGAGTCCCAGTCTTCAGAGAGAAAACTGAGGGAATGGGAGGGGAAATAACCTGCCCAAGATCTCGCAGCCAGTGGGGTGGTAAAGATGGAAGACCAATTCAGGTGGGGGGTCTGTGGGGGGCTATGGTCTGGCTGCTGGGAGGACACCAGATCCAGGGAATACCTAGAGACAACTCCCCTCTCTGTGCTGGGCCTGAGGGAGCCCCAGCCACGCTGGTTGCCAAGGCCTTTGTGGTGGGGAGATGTGCTTTGTTTAGGACCTTGAATCTCACATCTTTTTCCCAGTCTTGGAGTGACTCAGAGGGTGTGGATGGGTGGGTCTGCCTGAGTGTGCCTTGTGTCTGTGCTGTGGTGGGTGTGAGAGCACATGCCTCTCCACATGTGTGTGTGTGTGTGGGCCTGCATGCCCACGCGAGTGCTCCCGGAGCTGGGTTTGCACCTCTGAGCATGCGCAACGCCTGAGGGGCCACCACCCTGCTCCAAGACGCCATCGCTCTGGCCTGTATCATTCAACCTCCTCACTGGCTATTCGCTTCCACTTCTGCGCCCCTAGAAGCTATTAGCTTGGCTCATGTCTCTCCCTTACCTAAAACTCTCCACTAGCGTCTCATTACGCTTAAGGTTAAACCCCTTTAATTCTCACTCTACATTCTACGTGATGATTCTACATTCATCAGTGATTCAGTGACTCAATTCAGTGATTCCACACTCTCACCCTCCTCTCCTCCACTCTCGCCCTGACTCACTCTGCTCCAGCCATGCTGGGAGCCTTGAAGGATTTGTATTGGTTCCTTCTGCCTGGAATGCTCTTCCTCCAGAACCTCACATGGCTGGCTCCTTCTCATCACGGAGGTCTCTGCTCCAACACGGTCTCCAGATTACCCTGGGTCTGAAAGGGCCCTGCCCCTAGTCGCTCTGCTCCTGTCTCCTTCATTTTCTTCATAACACTTAATTACTGTTTGAAATTAAAGTCTTTGTCACCTTTTGTTCTTATTCATTGACTGTCTCCCACACTAGAATGTCAGCTTGGTCTTGCTGCTACCACTGCTTGGCACACAGTCGGTACTCAATAAATGCTGAAGGGGTAAACATTCACTCGCTAGTTGGACGACTTCCAAGAACTCTCCTTGATCCCATTTCCTTATCGCTAAAGGGAAATAATTCTGCTTTCTTGGGCTGTCCTAGTAATCACAAGAGACTGTTCCCTGCCAGGCGGCCACTCACCTGGTGAGAGTTCAAAGGCACTGAAGTGGTGGCTGGCGCCCTGGCTGCCAACCCTGAGAGGAAGGGTGCCCTGACTGCTGCTTCCACCTGACACCGTCCCGGGGCTGCCTCCTGGGGTGCAGCCCCCTCCCGGGCCCCCACCTTCCAACTTCTGGAGCTGCCTGCCCAGTCCCTCCTGACACACCCCAGGCAGGGACGGACTCACCGGCCAAGAATGTCCCTCCCAAGCCCAGGCTGGAGACTGGTGGAGCCGGTTCTGGTTTCCCCCCCTCCGCGGCCCCCCAAAGCCAGTTCCCAGCCCAACCGTTACTTTCCAGCTCCTGGACAGGACAGCGTCCAGCCTTGCCCCCCGCCCCCACAAGGTCCCCCTAGGATGAGCCTCCCTCCTCCCCGGTTTCCCTCCATTCCAGGCAGCTCGGGAGCTTGTGGACATGGGAGGAGGCGTCCGGGACCCTTCCAGCAGCTGGAACTCCCACCGGGGCCAGAATCGAGGGGCGAGAAGGCGGGGGTGGGGTGGGAGGTGTTGCGGGAGAGCCCTCCACCGCCACCTCAGCAAGCCCTCCGCAGCCCAGCCGGCAGGCAGGTGCGAGCCCCAGCCCCAGCCCCTGCTCCGCGGCGGGAGTTGCGGGGAGCGCTCAGCGGCGCGTGGGGGCCCATCCCGCGCTTACCAGCAGTGGCGCCGCCGCCTCCGGGCCCTGACCCCGCGTCCCCGAGGCCCGCAGCGGAGGCGAGCGCGGCGGGGCGCGCGCGGGTACACCAAGGGACGGCGAGGAGGAGGGAGGAGCCGGCGAGCGGGTCCCTCTAGTCCCGACGCTGCCACGCGCTCCCGGCGCAACCTGCGGAGGGGCTCCCGGCGCGTCCGAGCCTCGGGTTCCTCGCGCGTGGAACAGGGACGCTGGCGGCCATGGGCAGGACTGCGGCGAAGGCTCCGCTGAGACCGGGGCGTGGAGCACTCCGCACACTGTTGAGTGCCTGGGCCGGGGGACGGACTACAGTCAGGACGCGCCCACGCTCCTTTACTTCGGATTCGTGCCGGGCCCTGCCCGTCCCTGTCCCCGCCTGGCGCGGGGCCTTGCCCCTATGTGGGCACACTCCCGGGAGCCTGCCCTAGTGCCCTCCCGGCGCGATGCGTCCCCGACGGCGGCCTGGAGGGCAGCCCCAGTGCACGTTGGAGAGCCGGGGCGGGGACAGACCCTGTGCCCACAGCGGGAAGGGCACAGTGAGTCCTGCGCCTGGAAGGGAGATGTACGGGGTGGGGGTGGGGTGAGGGCAGGATGAGGGAGGTTCTGTGCGGAGGTGGGGGGTTGGGGCAGGGGTAGGGGCAGACCCTGTGCCCTACACCCTCTGCCCAGGGAGGCAGGCCTGTGGCTGGGGTGCGGCTGGGCTGGGCTCTGGGGATAAGGAAGCTTTGTCTTACTTACTAGTGTGTCATGACTGGGAACCTACCGACAGCCCCTGGCGCCCCAGCTGCGTGTGGGAAATTCCAGCCTCCTTGGGGAGTCCCTGGATCTTAGCGCTGGGCCTGATCCTCACTGTCTAGACGGAGAGAATGTCCCTAGCACTATGGTGAGTACACGTGGCATTTGCGCAGGACTGTGTGGTTTATGCCTGAAGTCTTGGCATAATTAACGATGTCCCTTTTTACACTCAAATCATGCCCCCAAAATTAGGAAGATCAGTTGTGGTCACCTCCTACTACTCATTCTGGTGGAGAACTAACACTGAATTGGGAGCTCAGAGACATCTTTGTGCCAGACACTGTCCCACATCCTCACAGCGTCCAGATAAGGAAGGTACCGTCCCTCCTGCTTTGATACGTGAGAAAACCGAGCCACAGAGAGGTTAGAATGACTTGCTCAGGCCCACACAGTAACAAAGCCACCTCTAGAGGCCTCCGCAATGTTGTTTCTGGGTAGAGCAAAGTCACAGGGAAAGGCCACCTTTTATCCACTGCGATCATGGCCCTTGAAAACCAGTGCTGGGTGGCACTCTTCAACCCACTGGAATGTTTCCATCCCTACCATGTTCCTAAAAATGGCCTGTCAAGGTCACCATGGATCTCCACGATGCTAAACCTGACGGTCACGCCTTGTCCCCTGCCCCTTGATCTTCTGAAGCGCCTGACACACTGGCCACTCCTTCCTTCTCAAAACACTTTCTTCTCTTGGCTTCCTTGCCACCACGCTCCTGGGTTCCTCGAACCTCGGAGGCCTCACATCCAGGCATGGCCCAGGGCCCAGTCTCTTCTTTCCCTGGTGAGCTCATCAGTCCTGGGGCTTAAATACCATCCATTCACTGACAGTCCCATGTTTCTAGTGCTGGTCCTGACTTTTCCCTGAACACCAGACTGTGTGGCCATGTTACCCCCCTGACCACGAGGGTTACCAGTTTCTCGTTTTTCATTCTTGAATCATCTGTTCATGTTCAACTACATGGATACTTTTTTTTCTACATTTAACCTGTGGATGTATGTTATGTATCTTCTGTGCTCTGCCTTTTTTTAATTTAACAAAATATTGGATATTTCCTCCTATTAGTAGATCTACAGCTATCTTGCTGTTTCTTTTTTTAAACAACTGAATAGTATATAGAAGTGGAATTTTGGGGTTAAAGTTGTGTGCTCTTTTAAAATTTTGACAGATATTGCCCAGTCCCCTTCATAGATGTATCAGTTTTCACTACCATGAGACAGGAGAGGGCTTGCTTCCCCACGCCCTTGCCAGTATAGGGTGTTATCAAACTTTATCATTGTCCGTGATATCTCATTATACTTTTATTTTTCATTTCTCTTATGAGATTGAGCATCTTTTAATATATTTGAGAGCTGGGTACAGTGGCTCATGCCTAAAATCCCAGTGACTTGGAAGACTGAGGCAGGAGGATTGCTTGAGGTCAGGAGTTTGAGACCTCCCTGGGCAACATATCTCTAAAATAATGAAAAAAAATTAACTGGGCATGGTGATGTGTATCTGTTGTCCTAGCTACTTAGGAGGCTGAGGTGGGAGGATCACTTGAGCTCAGGAGTTTGAAGTTACAATGAGCTATGATCCTGCCACTGTACTCCAGCCTGAGCAACACAGCAAGACCCTGTTTATTTTAAAAAAGATATGTATATGTATTTAAGAGCCACCTTTGTTTTTCTGTGAACCATCCTTTGCCTTTGCCCATTTTTTCTATAGGATGGTTGCCTTTTTATTATTGATTTCTTAGGAGCGCTTTACATATTAAGGAAGCAAGCCCTCTGTTTATGATACAAATAGAAAGGATCCCTCCCACCCACTGTTGTTTGACATTTGTAATTTGACTTTGTATATGGAGTTTTTACCAGGCAGAATTAAACATGTTTTATGTAGTCAAATGTAGTAATCTTATCTTTTATGGCCTCTGGGTTTGGTTGTAATTAGAAATGCCTTCTCCACTCTGAGAATTGCAATAAAAATTTTTCTCATGATTGCTTCTAGTTAAAGTAGCATTTTCATGATCTAAATCAGATCATGTCACTCCCCTATAAAGCCTTGCAGTGACTTATCATTACCTTTAGACTACTACTCGCTCTCTGACACTGGCCTACAAGGCCCCAAGCATTCCAGTCGTGCCTCTCCTCCCATCCCACATCCCCTCAGTCACTGTTCTCCTGTCTCAGTGGCCTTCTTTCTGGTCCTTGGACAAGCCACATTCATGCCAGCCTACCAGCCTTTGCCTTTGTGGTTCCCTCCACCCAGGCTGATCTCCTCTGATCCTTCATTGGGAGGGTCCCCCCCTCCTTACTCAGATCTCGCTTTCTTATAGAGGTGTTCCCTGGCCCCCTCATCTAAAGGCCCCTCACCCCACCTCCTCAGCGTAATTTCATTACAGTCTCTGAAATTGCCTCCAAGAGATTAGGGAGTCGCAGGTTGTGGTCACGTTCCTGCTGCATCTGCAGGGCCTGGATCGCAGCAGTCACTTGGTTACTATTTATAAAGGAACCACTGGTGTGCACAGGATATGTGTGAGAACTGCCTCTGTGTGTGTGTGTGTGTGTGTGTGTGTGTGTGTGTAAGACTGGGCAGCTGTATGTTAAGGATGGCAGTGTGGGCCACTCGTGTGTATGCTGTGTGTGGTTGTGAACGTGTGTGATTGCAGAGATGGCTGGGATGGTCTGTGCGCCTGTGTGGTTGTGTGTGAGGTGGTGGTGTGTAGTGGTGTCTATGTGTGTGGTTGGGTTATTCTGCTCTGGTCACCGGGTGATTTTATTGTGTAGGTCCTATCATTCTGACCCTTCCAGACGCCGGCCCCTGACTCCTGACACTAGGTAGTGTTCCCAACAACTGGTCTTTGCTTTTTCTGGGGGGAGCTGGAAGACTTCCGCATTCCAGAGAGGCTCTGAGGACCTTAAGGCCTTGCTGTCCACCCTGAATTTCTGCTCTCTGAGTAGGGGAATGTGTGGGAGGCCATCTAGGCCATCCCCTTGCCTCAGGGCAAGGCTGTGTTGCACCAGGGCTCTGCAGCTGCCCAGCCACCCCCACTCCCCTCAGGGCCTGCACCTGCTGTCTAGGGGCGGCAGCCCTAAGTCTGCCACTGGCCTCTTCCGGCCCAGCCCTGGCCCAGGTTGGTCTTGCTTCCAGGCCCCCCCCTCTGTCTAGAGTCTGCCCAGGCCTCAGGTGGGGGCTTCCTGGGATGTGGAGGGCCCCCCACCGCAGGGGTTTCCCTTGTGTTTGTGTATCTTCAGCAGAGGCCTGGGCCTGAAGCCGTCTCCTCCCTTGAGCAGGGGCTGGGGCAGGCAGAAGCCCCTGGAAGGCAGGCTGGGCAGAGGGGTGCGGGCATCCAGCCCTGCTCCAGCATGTCTGGGGCTGTGGGCGGGGAGGGGGTGATGTCCCAGGACCTGGCTGGAGTGTGGCCTTCCTTCCAAGCGTCCAGAGTTGCTCGCATCCTCTGCCCTCACAGCCTAATCCTCAAGCAGAGCTAATACACGGCTCTGCTGAGCTACCGTCAGGATGCAGCCATCCTACATGTGCACCCCCTTGTCCCCCACCAGGACCTCGTACCGTCCCTCTCCTCCTCCTCCATCAGCAACCTTTTGCTCTTCGCTGGATCTTTCCTGTTACAATAAACATACGGGTATTTCTCCATCTCAAAAATCCCCAAACACCTCCCTTAACCCCACTTCTTCCAGTGTCTGCCTCATTTCTTT